TTCATAATAGTCCCATATGGGACTATTATAAACACCAGTTAGATATAGTGGGGCAATTCTGAATCCATCACTTGTCTTAAAATAAATATAAATAGATTGTTTATTTTATGTCAATTTACGAATTTTGAATTTTATTTTGAATGATAAATTCGTAAATTTAAATAAATCGGAATTTTATGAGAGAATGAAGAAACTACAAGTTTTGAAAAAATTCAATTTGAATTATGTAATCTTTTCTTCAAAGCAATTTTTATAAATAAAATTTTTAAATTTAGTCATTTTCTAATTAATTCATTCAAATTCAAAATATGATTAAAACTGATTTAAATAGTTTTCATTTTTTGAATTATATTCATGTTCTCAAATGAGAAGATACACTTCCAGTTGGTAGCCTTTGAAAGCTATGGGATAACTCTTATGGGAAGAACTGGATCTCTCGCACAACTGCTTGACGCTTGAGAATACCATACGGAGCTTCGAAGAAAAACTACAAGTCAAGGACATAAAATGATCAGGGGTTCGGAGTACCGTGATAATCCCGAAAATCCCATAATAATCCCAAAAATCCCAGAGTACGAAATCCACCGTTTCCCCCTTGATAGAAATCTATAAAGTCATACTTTTATTTCTTACATCTGTTTGTTATCTTTTTTTTGTCTAAAATGAATAGTTGTTTGTATATCCACAGAGATTTGACATTTTCTATGATGAATATCAATGATTACGTCGTCAATATTTATCAGACAAAGATATTTCCCTTTAAATTATTCTTTACCTTTTCCTTTTTGTTCTTTTTGTTAATAAAAGAATATATCCAAACATTTGATTTATTTTAGTATAATAAATAACAATAAATATTCTCATGAATCTTCATTAAATTCATTTATTGATTGTCAGTTATAACAACAATCATCATCTGTATTAAATAATGAAATTTTAATAAAAGTAAGGTTGAGACATATTTTTTTTTGTTCGGTAACTAATCAAATGAGAAAAAAAGATCACCTGCTGACTTTTTTTTATTGTTTTCACGCATTGGAATAGTTAATATGATGACCTTGTTATTACTCTTGAGACCGAAAAATGATGGTCTAAACAATGAATTAATCGATTTTTTTATGTAAATAAATTCTATGTGGATTTTAGAATATAATTTTTCACCGAAATCATCCAAATGAATGATTAGGTTTAACTCTTCGTTATGGTATAACATCAAAATCAACTACTAATATTTATATTCAACAAATAAAGAAAAAACGAATCATTTTTCATACATATATTCTCATATAATAATGAATAGGTTGATAAAGAGAGTATAGCAGGTCATCAGAGTGAACTTCGAAGTAGTGATCTAATTATTAAAATAAACAATCATCGTGTTACAAGTCGAGACGAAGTAATTAATCTTGTAAATGGTGCTTGTCGTATTCTTTTATAAATTGTACATTTTCAAGTTAATTGTCTTCCAATAATTCAATCAATACCATTAACTGAAGATGATAATGGTGTTGTTCTTGCTTGTAATACAGATATTAAAACAACAAATCAAGTATGAAAATTTTATTTTTTTTCAAAAAAAAAAATTATTTTGTTGATCTATATTTAGAAATCTTCAAATGAATGTAATAATTTAATAAAAAGTTGTATTAGTTTATCATCATCTACATTAAATAATAATTGTTTATATTGTCGTCGTATACAATCTTATACAGATCAATTTCAATATTGTCGTTGTTTATCATTAAATGATTTAAGATCATGTATAAAACATGAAGAAAAACAAATTCAATATAACAAAACCTTTAATTCGTTCTCAAAGTCTTTTGGGAATAACAACAGATAATGAACAAATTATACTTAAACCATTACTATTTAATAATCAATTACAACAAAATTTAATTGTTAAACGTCGAAATGATAGTGATAGTAGTCGATCAAAATCAAATGATTCATATCATTCTCATTACAATAATAATCATAATCAATGGACATTAAAACATTTTCGACGTCGTTGTTGTGAACAACGTTTAAAAGAACAATATCAAATAATAGATGATGAACCAATGAGTGAATTAAAACAAGGTAAATATTGGACAGGACAACAACGTAAAGAACATTTAGCTAAAGCAAAACAATATCGACAACGTGCAAAATTTTTTCAACAACGTTTAATAATACCTTATTCAGATTCAGCAACAGAAGATTTTAATTTATTAAATCATATATTTATTCAAGAAAATCAACAAGAATTAAATGAAAAACTATATTTAGCTTATAAATATGGACAACAATCATCAATTGAAAGAAATCGATTAAAACGAATGATTCAACAACATTATTTTAATAGAATTAAATCTCAATCAACTACAAACTATATCAATTTCTTGTACAATTAATCAACCTCCATTGGTTATTTGAGTTTTTTTTTTCTTCTTTTTGTATTAAGTGAATTAAGAGAATTATTTATTTCATTGTATATAAAGTTATTATATGATCAAAGTCATCTTTAAATATTTTAGAATTATATAAAAAAAAATGAATAAATTGTTTGTCGACTTTTGATAGGTTGAAATAATAAAGATTGTAGAGAAAGCAGAAATAATTCAATTTAAGAAAACTAAAACAAACTTTCATGTCTAGTCTAACAAAAGTTAGCAATTTATATCATTTGCATAAAACTACGCCATCTATTGGAAATATCAATATTAAAAAAAAAAAGAAGGCAAATGTTAAACGACGAAGTAGATTAGTTGTTTCCAATCATCCATCCAGCACATGTCTTTGAGTGAATCATTACGATCCTTACACGAGATATTGTACGAAAGAAAGAACCACTTAATATTGTTTTTTGTGGTCATGTTGATGCTGGAAAATCGACAATCGGTGGACAACTCATGTAAAATTTATATTCAAAAATAAATAATTTAATTCGAAAATTTTTCTTTTTTTTTTAAGATATTTAACAGGTCAAGTTGATAAACGAACATTAGAAAAATATCAAAATGAAGCTCGTGAAAAATCTCGAGAATCTTGGTATTTATCATGGGCATTAGATACAAATGAAGAAGAAAGAGAAAAAAGGAAAACTGTTGAAGTTGGTCGAGCTTGGTTTGAAACAGAAAAAAAAACATTTTATTATTCTTGATGCACCTGGTCATAAATGTTTTGTTCCAAATATGATTGGTGGTGCAGCACAAGCTGATATTGCTATTCTTGTAATTAATTCATTATTTATTACGATTTTTTTATTATAATTTTATATTTGATAGGTGATTTCAGCTCGAAAAGGTGAATTTGAAACAGGTTTTGGACGTGGTGGACAAACTTGAAAACATGCTATGTTAGTTAAAACAGCTGGTGTTCGTTATTTAGTTGTTCTTATTAATAAAATGGATGATCCAACTATTAATTGGGATCAAGCAATATATGAAGAAATTAAAGATAAACTTTCA